AATTCTGCGAAATCCCTGTGTTAAAAATACAATAAATATTGGTACATGGAACGAGAGAAGCATGTACGAGCCTGGGAAAATTCACAACGTTATACAAGAGATGCAAAGATTAAACATCGATATCCTAGGCATCAGCGATACAAGATGGTCGGGTGCAGGCAACGTCTCGACAAGCAACGGTATGATCTATTTCTCAGGAAATGAATACCCACATCACAGATATGGTGTAGCAATTGTCGTTTCAAGAAGAATGACACAGTCTGTCACTAATTTTTCGCCAGTGTCAGACAGGATCCTGCTCCTACAACTGCATACAAAAACTGCAAAACTTAATATTATACAGGTATATGCCCCTACTGCAGATAAATCAGATGAAGAGATTGAGCAGTTTTATGAACAAATAAATCAAGTTCTAAAGTCTACAAAGCCAAAAGATGTTACACTTATCCTTGGAGACTTCAACTCCAAAATTGGCAAAGGAAAAAGCGGAAAAAATGTGGGAGAATATGGTTTAGGGGCAAGAAATGACAGAGGAGACAAACTTTTAGAGTTCTGTCAAGAGAATGATATGATAATTTCAAATACATTCTTTAAGCTACCCAAACGAAGACTGCACACATGGACGTCCCCTCAACACACTAGGGAAAAAACAATTAGGAATCAAATAGATTATATTTTAATAAATGAGCGATACAGAAATTGTATAAGATCAGTTAAGGCTTATCCAGGCGCAGATGTTTCTTCAGATCATAACCCCCTGATAGCGCGGGTACACATTAGATTCAAAAGACCTTCAAATAAAACAAAAATAGATCACATAGATACCAGCCGCTTACAAGATCCAACAATTAAAGAAGATTTAAAACAACATATCAATGATAACTTACGAATGCTTTCTACAAAGACAGAGAACACGCATGTAGAAGACAAGTGGCAAGATTTAAAAGACGCCATAATAAAACCTGCCCAGAAAATGCTTACCAAAGAGAAACAGAAAAGGAAATCAAACAAAGAGGAAATCGAAGAACTACATCTCAAACATGACACTTTTAACTTACATAAAAAGATAAAGGAACTGACAGGTACACAAAAACGAAAACATCCCAATCTCCTATGCAACGCAAATGGTGAAATAATAGCCGATCTACAAGAAAAGCTTAGGACCTGGAAGAACTATGTAGAAGAACTGTTCGACGATGAAAGACAAGAACCTAATATAGATAACTTGCAAGGCGACGAAGGACCAGAAATAACTAAAGAAGAACTATTATACGCTATAAAAATAATGAAAAATGGTAAATCACCGAGTCCAGACGGGCTCACATCAGAACTTCTTAAGCTTGTGGAAGGCGAATCAGTGAATATTCTACTCGACCTTTTTAACTGCATCTACAAAAGAGGAGAAATACCAAAGGAATGGCTACTTTCAACTTTCGTAACCTTACCAAAAAAGGCAAATGCAAAACAGTGCACTGACTACCGCACTATAAGCTTAATGGGGCATACATTAAAAGTATTCATCAAAGTAATCCACTCAAGAATTAACAGAAAACTAGATGCAGATATTAGTAATACTCAATTCGGATTTCGGAACGGGCTTGGAACAAGAGAAGCACTATTTGCACTCAACGTCATATGCCAAAGATGTCTAGATATAAACCAAGATATATATATGTGCTTCATTGATTACAACAAAGCGTTTGATAAAGTTCGTCACGATCACTTAATGTAACTGCTAGTAGAAAAAAACTTGGATAAAAGGGACATTAGAATTATCTCTAAGATTTACTATAACCAGAAAGCAAATATCCGAATAGAGCAAGAGACAACGGAGGAAATCGAGATCAAGAAAGGCGTAAGACAGGGTTGTATACTCTCACCGACCTTATTCAATCTATACTCCGAAGACATTATAAACACAGCACTTTCGGATCAAAATATAGGTATTAAGATAAATGGCATCCGAATAAACAACTTGAGATATGCCGATGACACGGTACTAATCGCAGAAACTTGGGAAGATCTTCAAATACTAATTAACAAAATAGTAGAATGCAGTGAAGAACACGGATTATCACTTAACATAAGCAAAACAAAAATAATGCTAATATCTAAATCACCACAAAACTTCCCGGACATAACCGTGCATGATCAAAGAATCGAACGTGTAAGAAGATATAATTACCTGGGAACTGTTATCAACGAAAATAATGATTGCTCTGGAGAAATCAGAACCAGAATAGAGAAAGCTAGAGCCACATTTACTAAATTGAAAAAGGTGTTCTGCGGAAGAGATCTAAGTCTAAAACTTAAAATTCGCCTTTTGAGATGTTACGTTATGTCAGTTCTCCTCTACGGGATGGAAACATGGACATTAAAAAAGATCGATACCAAAAAGATAGAAGCATTTGAGTTGTGGATGTATTATAGAATATTAAGAATACCCTGGACAGAGAAAGTAACAAATGTGGAGGTTTTGCGGAGAGTGCGGAAAGAGAAAGAGCTGATACTTACTGTTAAAAAGCGCAAACTACAATATTTGGGACATGTTATGAGGGGAGATAAATACCAGTTGCTGCAATTGATTATACAGGGGAAGATAATGGGAAAGAGATCTATAGGAAGAAGAAGGCATTCATGGTTGAAAAACTTGAGAGAATGGTACAATTGCACCAATTACCAACTGTTTAGATCTGCAGCATCAAAAATACGCATAGCTTTGATGATAGCCAAACTTCGGAACGAAGACGGCACTTGAAGAAGAAGAAGAATGGAATAAGACAGGAAAATTGATTAAGCTTTATTCTATTCAATCTAATCATGGATGAAGTCATAAAGAACGTCAACAAAGAAGAGGATACATAATGAGGAATAATGAAATAAAGATTCTCTGTTCGGTAGACGATGCAATATTGATAGCTCAAAACGAAGACAGTCTTCAAAGACTAGTTCACAGATTGAACACAAGAGCAAAAGAATTTAACATGACGATTTTCTCAGAAAACTGGAATAAAAGTAATCAGTAAAGATCCAATAAAATGTAAACTCGATGGAGTCGATGGAGTTAGCATTGAATAAGCAATGGAAATAAAGTACCTAAGGATTACAATATCCAGCTCTGAAGACGTTGAAAAAGAAGTAAGAGATCAAGTACAAAGTGCAAATAGATTGGCAGGTCTTATATACACAGGCATGTCTTAATAACACTATAAGGTGTAACCGACACATTACCATTAAGGTGAAATAAAGAATGCGTCAATGTAAGAACAGTAATGACGTACGAATCAGAAACAAGACCCGACACAGAGAAAACACAGAGCCTGCTAGATACAGCAGAAATCAAAATACTCAACAGAAAGGGACAAATCATCAAGTATTGTATAGAAGAATTCCCCGATCGCGCAAGAGATGGAGTAACAATCTTCCGTAGTGTCAATAATCTGCAAATGAACAAACAAAATTGCTTATATAAAGGAAGAAGAAGATTAACAAACAAAATAGCTAGCCATTTTTTAAATGAATTTGAAATGTACCCGATAGCTCTGCTACTTCAAAGAGGTTGTTTTCTTGTGAGAGGGGGTTGATGGAAGCGTAAATACTAGGTTATTATCCGATAATTTGGACAAATTATTATTTTTGAACACCAACTACGATTTGGGTTTGTAATTTGTAATTTTACTGAAAAGTTTTTTAAAATATTTCATTTGTTATCGATATTATTTTTGAAATTATATAATTACCTACAGTTCCAAAAGAAAGAAAAAAATCATGTGTATTAGATTTAAAGAAAAACTTTCCGATATACGTCGGTTTTTTTGTTTACATTTGCATTACTTAAATTTAAATTGTGCATTTTATGACGTCGCTCGTGAATCACGTGTAGGAACTCAAGTGAGTGAGTAAAATTAACTAATCGTGAGCGGGCGTGAACCAGAATACGTTTCACCCATTCCTTCCCGAGACAGGTATCATAACAATCCAATATAACAGCATGTAAGATAACAATTTCCTAATTGTTATGTTACCTGTTTGGGGTAATAATCTCATTCAAATAGAAATACCTTTATAAGCAGCCTTTTATAAATCGTCTAAAATTAGGTATCAAAAGTACTAGTTATTTAAGAAAACTAGTTGAGAGGGGCTGAAGATCACTCACAAAAAATGAAATATTAAATTAAATGTTATAAATATATATATATATATATATATATATATATATATATATATATATATATATATATATATATATATATAAAGGGCATGTTCGATGGAGTTAGCTAACATGGTAACAATATAAATATGAATAACATAAGAAGAGAAATTATTGAGTGAATTATTGGGTAAATTTAAGCAAGACAATAATAAAAATCAGTAGGACCATTAAAATGAAATATGCAGAACATTTCGTAGACTAATCACAACAAAAGATTAAATTAATATAAGTATATGAAATTTCACAAAAAACGATCGAACGATCTTATTAGCTGAAAAAATAAGAGAACAACAATACTAAAAATTAAATATTAAAGAAATTTAAAAAAAAAAACTTGAATAGTGAGAGTATTGTAAATGACTAATGAGTAATTGTAAATAAATATTAAAGATATAAGAAATGGGCAAGACTATCAAATAATAACTAGAAGAAAAAATACGAAATTCTGACCAAAAAAAAAAAAAGTCTAAATATGATGTTAAGGGAGCAAAATATGAATTGTTAAAATTAGTGACTGATGTTCAATTAAGTCGTGATGTAGAAAAGAATTTACAATAAATATGTGATAAAAAATATTTTATATATTTAAGAACATAATTTGTTTATTGAAAGAAATTGAATTTAAAAGTTTGGTGTATGTGTAAAAAAACACTAAAATATGTGAAAAAAAAAAATAACAGCCAAGCAAATTTTGACAAAAATATAGGAGAAATATAATGCACATGCAATTTGAAAAAAAAAATTAAATCAAACGACAATCTAATTGTTTTCAAAACGGTATCGGTACCTTTAAGGCTTTTGCCAAAATAGCCCAACGACGTCGAGCTACTACCCTCTTTTCATTTGGAAACCGCAAAACTTCATGGAAATCAATACTGCATTTAGAATTTAATCCAAATATGTCTTTACTTTGGTCCATAGAAGGAGCATGTTAATAATGAGACTTGCAGATTGTTTGTCTTAGCTGTAAGACAGTTTAAACAAAATCAATAAATAATATGTCAAATTTTAATCCTTCATGCTTTTAAAAATTGAAAATTTAATGATTTTATTGACATAAGCAACTAAAAAACTCAATTATTAGGAGCGTTTCCAAACATATCACAAACTTACCTATAACTCTCACAGATTTTTTGATACTGGCAAGTTCGCAACTCGCGTTAAAAATTATTTAAATCCTAACGTTAAGTACAAAATTTTGGACGAATTACAAAACATGACCTTTCTGTTATTGACAATCAATACGTCAACTTCACTTCTGTGGGTACGGTTAGTATTCAAATAACCAACATTAGAATCATATAACTACTAGCTGTTACTTTTGAAGTAACAGCTCCGGAACTTAATATGTGCAATAACAGCAGCGCAAAATAGTTGAGGCATAGTGTTGAGGTTTGAAAGATAATTGAACAAATTTAATTCCACAAATTATATGAATCACATATTGATTAATATTTAATTATAGAAATTCACTTAATTATTGCAAAATTGGATATTTTGAAGTGAATACTTCTTACCGCTCGGTATGATGTTTTGGACAGGCTCAAAATCCTATTTAATTTAGGGTGTCTTGAAAAATCGAGACGGGTGTAGTAAGGTTCCATAAACCATAATATACATACATAGTATACGCACATACAATATACACTTATTATAATTTTATATAATATATTTTTTTTATAATATCTCTAGAAGGACTGGATCGATTTGGATATATTTTTTTAATATTTGTATAAAAGAAAATTAAATAAAATGAAATACTATTAAATAAAATTAATTAAAATAAACACTTTTAAAAATTTCATAAATTATTTTAGAAATTTTATAGTCGTTTGTAGAATTACTACAAACCTTAGTATTTACATATTGAAAGTTTATAATGAAAATTAATTAATATACCCTCCCATTATTCATGATTATTTTTAGAATACAATGATGATAATCAAAATGAAATTATTAAGCATCAACACAAGATAATAATGAAAATCCATATGATGAATAAATTCTATAGGAATTATATTTAACAAATTTTGAAAATAACTAAAACGCATATTTAAATATAATTAAGATTTTTTTATTTTAAAGATTTTAAATGTGTACTTAGTGTTAAAAAAAAATAAAAAATATTAACAATTTAGTAATAAACAGATATAAAATTTCATTAACCTACATTATAGTAATAACAAGCTATAAGAAGTATTCAGTTCTGTTGGCACTCTTTTTTAAATTTCTTAATTATAATAAAATATAACTGTATTAAAAAAGGTATTTATTTATTTTATATATTGACATTCCCTTTTGAAATATCAAAACTAAAAGAAAAAATCAATATTGAAAGTGTAATTGCTTAAGACTAGTTTTTGATGCTGGCAACATTTATAACAGAAAATTATTTTGTTTGTTAAAAGTAGTATAGGTACTCATAATGTTCCATTAATCTCTGGATGCAAATAAGAAGGATTGCACAACTTAAAACAAGAAGAAAGCACACTTTCTTCCTCATCCTAGAAAACTATTGTAGGCTAACCAAATTTCAGGTAAAATTGGTAATCTGTGTCTGGAATACAATCAATTACTATATCACTGTATTATAAAATGTCTCAGTGTCCTCTCAAAATGAGCAAAAAAGAAATTAAATTAGCAAAAGGTCTTCTTACTGGAAACTGCACTTTTAAATATCACCTCAATAACATGGGCAAGTGAGAACTGCTCTTTCTAGAAAGTTAAAAAAGAAACTGCAGAACATGTACTATGCAAATACAGAACAGAACACCCTAGAAAGTTTTAGTCTTAAACACTTACAAAAATAAGGGTCACACCCCTTACAAAGCTGATCAACTTTACCATAAGTACATATTGGCATTCTAGAGTTGCAGTTCATATTGAATAGCAACATCATTCATGAAATACTTTTACTAACCTTAGCTAATTTGCCAAACTAGCTATTTGTGTAATATATGTGATGAATATCTTGAAGCTCTCAAAAAGAAAATAACATTCACTTCCGAATATATTGTTTTGACTGTGCTAGTCAAATTGTTTCACTGTAGTGCATAAAATATGTGACTATGGTAAAATATAAATGTCACAGTAGTTGCCATATTTGTCTACAGAATTTTTTCAAATTCGCAAATTTAAATTTATTAAACCAAGAATTAGTATCAAAAATATTTAGGGGGAAATTAGAATCAAATAAATGATATACGAAATAAAAAATGAGCAGTTACAAAAATTGTACATGTGAATAATATTAATATAAAACAGTCTATCATGTGATCTAAATCAACAAGAGGAGGATAGTAAGGGCATATTAAAAAAATCAGAACTACAAAATAAAGAAAATTAGAAACTGGAACTATACAGCCATGTAGTTTAGAAGGTTGATGAAAAATGTTAAATAACAATTTAAAAGAAATAAATAGGTATAAAGTAATATTATAACAAATTAATGACAATTCATGAGAAGAAAATAAGTTTTCCATAACAAAATGTTTTGAAAAGTTACCACAGAGTAGCTTCATTTCAGTATACTACTTTAAAACCATTCATGTGTAAATTATTTCAATAAATACAGTATTCATTTATGTACATATTTTATTTAGTTGTGTATTAAAAATACAAAAGTTCATTGGGTATAGACTTTCAAGATATAAAAATTATATTGTAAATAATATTTTAGCCTCACATGATAATCTGAGGTTCTGGAACGGAAGTAGCAATATTTTTATGAGGTAACACTTGACCTCCATTAATGTATGTTTCATCTTTAACTATAACATCTTCTCCTAGTACTGTGGAACCCTCCATTCTTACCCATCTTCCAACACAACACTTCCATCCAACAATACAGCTTTCTAACCAAGAATTTGAGCTAATCGTAGCATCTTTAAGTATTGTAGATCGTTTTATACATACTCCATCTTCTATAACAACACCTGGTCCTATTGTAACATTAGGCCCAATTTGACAATTGTTTCCAATTTTAGCAGTAGGATCTACTAAGACATTGCCAACAGCACCTGGTCCGTTATAAAGTTTTTCGTCATTTGTTTGCCTTAAATGTTTCAGATATAAACACATTCCAGTTAGAAAATCTTTTGGTTGACCAACATCCATCCAAAAACCTTCCAATTCAAAGGCATACAATTGTTTATCAGCAGCCATGTAAGGAAATACTTCTTTCTCGATAGAAGTTGGTTTTAATTCTATCCTGTTAATGACACTTGGATTTAAAATGTACAAACCAGCATTAATTTTATTAGAAATAAATTCTTGAGGTTTTTCTACAAAACTTTGGATGCTGTTGTCTTTGTCATATACTACTACACCATATTTTGATGGTTCTTCCACTTTAGTAACCACTATTGTACCTTCTTTTCCATGATTTTTATGGAATTCAGCCAATGCTTTAAATGGGAAATCGCAAATAATATCTGAATTTAGCACAAAGAATGGTTTAGTGCTTTTGGAAAGGTGTTCTCTGGCTAATGCAATTGGTCCTGCTGTACCTAAAGGTTCTGTTTCATGGGAAAATATTATACTAATACCCAATTTTGTGGCTTCCACCGTCAATTCCTCTTCCATTTGTTTAGCACGATATGACACTGCTAATATAACTTCAGTAACTCCGGCATCTACAAGAGCTTCTATTTGATGAAGCAGAATGGGTTTATTTGCAAATTCTACAAGAGGTTTGGGTCTACTCAAAGTTAGAGGTCTCAATCTGGTACCATAACCTCCAACCAAAATTAATGCCCTTTTTCCTTCTTCTGGCATATTTTCGTTACTGATTTATGATCAATATCACTATGTACAGATAATTATAAGTCTTCTTACAATGTTGATATCTTTACCTTTACAATTTTCTTTATTCACTGGCACATATGTTTTGTATAATTCACAAGTTCATTACAAATACATGAATCATTTAATTTATAACAAAAAATAACACGTCAACAAAAAACGTTAATCTTCTAACCCCTTGATAAGAAACGTCGCCACGATCTCATTGGTTATGTTTACATGTTTTTTTGACACTTCATGTATTTTGTAGTGGTGGAAAATTGAAGCACAAATTTCCTTCAACAAAAATAAGTTTCATTTGTCACACAATATAGTTAACCGGTTAAAATGTAAATATACTGCAGGGCCGGTTTAAGTAAAGTAAAATATTTTATTATTTAGAAGGTCAGGTATACTCCATTCCACGAATATACGACTGTTTTACATTCGCTTTAAGGTGTCGACTTAAATGGTCCAATGTGCTGCATTGTACAATAGTAAATTCTCCCCATTTTTAAAATACTGTTACGACAGATATGAACCTTAGATTTAAATATGAAGTCATGATATAAAAAATATAGAGTTGATAGTTTATATAATAGTTGTAATTCAGAATTTAAATTATATAATTACTATTATTGAGTTTAGTATTTTAAACAAGTTGGTGTTTTAATTAAGTGATTTAAACGAATTGATTAAATACTTAAGTGATTAAATAGTGTACTTTATTTAGTCGAATATTCAATTAGTATTAAAAAAAAAAAACAAAAAAACTTACTTATTCTCTTATTCACCTAATCTCCTAAAACTATTATCAACCATCAGATTCACAGCCATAATCACTGTCGTCGCTATTCTCATTTGGATGGTAATTTACAACAGGATTAACTGCTTCGATGCGACCTTCACGGATCCACCATTCTTTAATTAAGTCTTCACATTTTTTTACACTTTTTCCCCAAATTTCAGGAGTGGCAATATCCAATGCTTGTTGCCATGTTTCCAAGACTGCCTCGTCACTGCAAACCTTGTATCTAATATGGTTATCATAATATGTTTTGCAAATCCCCCAAATATATTCAATTGGATTGAATTGGCAGTGATGGGGCGGTAGTCTTAACACACAATGTCCAAAGCTATGTATAATTTCGTCTACTATATATATATATGTTTGGTTGTGCATGACTTTTAGCTAACGTTAGTAATTGAGGCTTAAAACAGTATTGAGGAAATGTAATAGTTTTATTCGTTAACAATTCTTTTATTTTATCTACAGTCCAGGTATTTGTTGGTTGCTTATTTAAAATTTCCGAATGATACGCAGCATTATCCAGTACTATAACGGATGGTTCATGTAAACTTGGCAACCGTTTTTCTTTCAACCATTTAACAAACATCTCCGTATTCATATTGTCATGATAATCGGCTGATTTTGATTTTGATGAAAACACAAGATCTGCTCCCTCAATAAAACCATATTTTCTACCTGCATGTACTATAATATATCTCTTTCCCTCGTTATCGATGTATTTTATGGATTTTATACTCTCGTCCTGCCACATTCGTTCGATACCGCCTTTAGCAAAAATCCATGTTTCGTCGAAATAAACGAACTAAGAACATTCTTTAAATTTGTTGTAATTTCTTAAAAATTCTATTCTTTTGTGAACGACACTAGCTCTTTCACACAAATCATTTCTATTGTCTTCCTTTTCGAACTCAAAGCCAAACATGTTCTTTCTTTTCGCGCATTTTATATATTGTCTCACGGATTTCAAGTTTGCAACCTTCGGGAAGATCTATAGTCTTTGGTTGTCGGCGAGATTTATATTGTGCGACATTTTGTTCACTTTGTCCACTTTTTTTTTCTTTTTGCAAAACCGACTTTAGTTTTGTTTCACTAATACAGAGTGCATCACACACACGTTTATGTACGGACAGAACAGGTCGCAAAGGGCCCCCGTTGGTTTTCTCAGCAGTAAAATAAGAAAGTACATTAATTATAAACTTGTCTACATCTAAAACACGTCTCGGCATTTTTGGCTTCAATAAACAAATACACTACACTAAACTCTATCTTAACGGACACCTCTCTTCACCGGAAACCTCTATACGGACGGTTTTTAAAACTAAAATCAGTCGGCGATATATGAAACTGTATGTAAATTTTCGTTACTTTTTAATATCTGTAACGACTCGCTACTTTAACTATCAATAGCCGGTATATTATACCCGTTATAAAAAAACTTTCGGAACTTAAGAGTACATCCACTCAAACCAAACAAATATTTAAAATTAACAAAGTGAACTATTATATAGATTCTATTTCTGGTTTCTGAACCATCGTTCTGCCAATTTCTTTTCATTTATAATAAAAATAGTATATTTATTTTTATTACAGTTCTAGTACCTAATAAAGTAATAAAATAAAATATCAAAGAAACCCGGCACGCCTGTTTGCATTTATTTACAAATGTTTACATTTCAAATGTACTTTGTTTATATTTCACCGAAATTTAACCCAAATGTCTGATGAACACATTTTCGTAAAAATGAGCGTTTGCGTAAAAATTTTTGTTATTTTCGGATTAAATTTCCCAATAAATTTTGCGTCTATTTGTACATCTATTAACTGAAATCATTTTAGTTCAGATGTAATACTAACAGTAGATGCTTTTTATTGGAATAATAATTAGACCAATTTACTTTCATACTTCTACTTGCACAGTAAAATATTCGTTGTCGCAATAATCCCAAACAGTCGTATATTCGTGGAATAACCTATAAATGCTTTTTTAGTATATTACCATGGACGTATAAATAAAGATGTATAAATAAAGACGTATCTTTATTTATACGTCCATGTATAATACAGTAACTAGTTAACTGTTACATATTATGATAAACTGTGCAAGCCTATATCTACTACATCATTTGCCGCTGTCTTCGTGTGGCTCGACGCTGCGCACAAAATTTAGTATGTTATGAAGTTGCAAAGAGTGAGAAATGTCCTGGTCCATCTCACATTAATTCTCAATCATTATCTAATGGTTGTTCCCAGCCATTTCCCAAAAATCCTAGAGACTCTCATATTTTTTCAGCGTCAATTCTCAATAACGCTGAGTCATCTCAGCCGATACCTCCTCTAACTAGTGGTATACATGTTGTTCAGGCTAAATATTCGTCTTCAACTTTTCTTATCTCAATTGAAGATATAACTCCTCTTCCAGATATTAAAAACTTACAAACAGCCACGAAGTCAAATACAAGAAAATTCCTATATTCTGAGAGATTAACATCAACTCCAATGAAAGAAGAAGTGAAGGATGTTGAAGAAAAAAGGTAGAAGAGAACGATAACTAAACAAAATAAAGGACGCTGGTTCTCTTCGTCTTTCTAAGTATATGGCCAATGGCAAGTATAACTTATGAAGTTCAAAATCTGGCATAGCTTTGAAATATGACATATAAGTTAAATTTTGTTTTTAATGTAGATGTAAAGATTAATGTACCACAGAGTAGGTACCTATTTAAAATATTTTATTTCATATTTAAATAAAAATTAAAATATATCAATTTATTAGGTATTTATTTCCAAAAATATATGAATTTTTATACAGCATTGGACATAATTCCATTCTTTCCACATGTCTGTCTGTTAACTGTTTTTTACATTCAGATAAAATTTGCTTTTGGCAATATTAGGAATAAGCCACAATTTCACTTTAAAATAAGTTTATTTTGACGTTTCATTTATTCTCCGTTTTGGTACTTACCGGCTCCTGGCTCTCGAGAAAAAAGAAACAAGATTTCAGATCCCTGGTTAAATTTCCTCCTCTCTCCTCCTACTTCTTCTACTTCATTACTCCAGAGATCAGACAGTGCACTTTTCTCCATTCTCTCTATCATCTCATCATCATGTTTACCATGTTTCTTTCATTCAGCCTGAAACCCATTTGTCTCTTGAAGTCTTCCCTCTCATTTGCCCACCTCTTTCTGTTGAAAAGGTGGGCTGGAGTGTTCAGCACCCTACAAACAGCACAGTATACCGAGGCAGATTTCCTAACCTATTTTTAAAGTGCCAAAATTACCATGTCCGGTCATAAACTGCGTCAGGAAGTAGTCCAGTTTCACCACGGTCTCAGATCATGAATAAGCATTTACGTCCACCTTGGCGTTCTATCACTCGTTCATTCCCACTGCTCTCCTCTATTGTTCTCCCTCTAACTCTCTTCGCATACTCGGTTATCACCGAGTGTAAAACTTCACTTAGCATCCCTCTGTTGGTGCTTCCTGGGCCTACAATGTTCGAAATTAGTCGTATCGAACCTTAGTTCTTACGACAACCAGACTCCGAGGTACTTAACCGATTTAACCGGTGTAACCTCCACACACTTCCACTCTAAAGCGACGAGAGGATTTGTTCCAGTTCCCCTTGAGAACTACTAGCTCAGTTTTCTGAGGTGCTAGCATACTATATTATTTATCTATGGTGCTAGGTGTAGATCTTTCTCTTTGATCCACCTACTAATACTACGCAGGGTAATATTGGTAGCATGTTAGTTAATATTTTCAGCTGTCTTTATAACATTGACATAAGCTGACGTCATTATTAGTATGACCTAATGAAATGTAAATTGTCATGCTAACAGTTTCTAACAAAATCTGATTCTTGCTTCTCCTATAAAATTTGAAACATGGCAATAAGTGAAATATTACCCGAATTCACAATTGTTTTTGTTTAAAACTAATCTATTTAAAAACACCCATAATATTTACAATGTTAATGACATAATTCTCATAATTGATTCTTGAAATGGCTTTATTGTCAACCAGTTTCTAATAAATGGAAAATGGACAACCTACTCTAATTACGATTGTTTTGGACGGCTTGGTATAACAAAACATTAAACAATAATTGATTGACGTCATAATAGGATCATTAAAAACAAAAGCAAAGATGAAGTAAAAATATTATGAAAAAGACAGCAAATATTTGATTTCACGCAAACAGCACGAAATGTATCTGTTGATACGTATTTCGACCTAATAGGTCTCATCAGAACAGTTATTTATAGGTATGAATATATATTACATAAAAATATTATATGTATATCACTATGTTTTTGACAATCCTGAATTTTTCAGCAATAATGACAGTATATTACGAGCCCTAACAATTATATATATATATATATATATATATATATATATATATATATATATATATATATATATATATATATATATATATATATATATCATTTTTTATGATATTGTCCTGAAGCTATTTTCTTGTGGCATTTTAAATTAATTACTATTTAACTGGGCATAAGCCACAATTAAAGATAAAAATACGTTTATTGACGTTTCAATTTCCATTTCGGAAATCGTTCTCAAAATACAAACAGTAAATTAAACAAATTTTGTTAAAAAAAAATAAAAAATAAAAATTGTGTAATTTACTATTTGTATTTTGAGAACGATTTCCGAAGTGGAAATTAAAACGTCAATAAACGTATTTTTATCTTTAATTGTGACTTATTCCCAATTAAATAGTAATTACTTTTTTATGATGTATGGAATTATTTTTGCGGCTTAATTATATATTTTATATTGAATACTATGTAATTAATTGTTTGATAATCGAAAACTGCTGACAATTAAATGTTGGAACAGAACAAAGAAGGCTTTGAAATAAAACATACGAGTAGGTAGTGCGTAACATAATTGCCATGGCTCATTTGAGTATAAATAAAGACTACTGTCAGTTTTCTTATGAGTAAAATATAATAACGGAACGTGGAAACAATACTGATCCAAAAGTTCGAGAAATTATTATTCATCAGTACCATGAAGGGAAAACAATGCGTGAAATTTCCAGTGAATTGACTGTAGCAACAACTACGGTGTTTAATATAATTAATAAATATGGTGAAACTGCCAGTATTGATGTTTGCAGAAAAAGCTCAAGCCCTCCAAAAGCTGTTTGTCAACGAAGTGCATTTAATTCGAATATGTAAGTCGGGAAGAAGAAATACGCTCCGAGAAGTAACTGTTAGAAGGAATAGAGAAACTGTAATGAATGTTTCCAGATAATCCTGTTGCAAATATATCCACCAAAGCGGTCTTAGTTTTTATAAGGTATGCTTGATAAGTTCTTCTTTGCAATATAAATTTTCTGTTTTTTGATTTATTCGAGTAATCCAAAGAAAAACCATTGCTGACGGAAACTCAAAAAAGGAATCATTATATTTGGGCTAAATCAAAACTTTCGTGGATCAAACATAACTGTTTGATTATCGAAAGCGTGTGATTCGGCAAAACGTGTAATTCGAGAAGCATTCTATAAGTATTTTCTCTAAAGAACCTCAAAGTTTCCACAGGGCATCATGGTGGGGTTGTATGTCGGTAAAAGAGTTGGGAACATTACATTTTATTGAGGACATAGTAAATGCAGCTAAATATCAGTAATATGTATATCCTTGAATATTGGCCTCTACCAAGTGCAGCATAGTTATATCCATTCGGAGATCTTATCTTTCAGCAGGACGGAGCCTCCTGCCATACGGCTAAATCTACCAAATAGGGTTGGGATAACAGGACATTAAAGTTTTGTCACATCCTTCTAGCAGCCCGAATCTTAATTCAATAAAGGCACTTTGACATAAAATGAAACAACGCCTAAGAAATAACCCTTAGGGTACTTTGCTACAACTACGTGCTAAATTACAAGAAATATGAGATAGTTTCACCCCTGAATTCTGTGAAGGCCTAGTTGGTACAATCCCTAATAGAGTTCAGGCTGTTTTCAATCTAAGGGCGGCATTACAAATTATTATTTATTTTAATATGTTAAAATCCTCTTGTTCCAAAATTTAGTTGTCAGCATGTTTTGGCTGACAACTAATTCAATAGTAATCAACAAAAGTTACATAATTAAACTGTAAAGATAATTCCATATATCATAAAAAATGATGTTAATTTCATATTTACAATTAAAAAAAAATAACTTAAAAGAATTTCAATAAATTGGTATTTTATTTGCAAAATAAGTGCTTGTTCCAACATACATTGTTTGTAGTTCCAACATACATTCAGTAACTTGGGTGGTTAAAGTCTTCAAGACTAATGTCTCTGACTAATTAAGAATTCTTACTTCAATAAAAGAAATATTATTTTTAAGAATATACAATATAAAAATAGTAATAATAATCAATAAATAATAAAAATAAAACAAACCTAAACAATTTGAAGCCACCTCTGCTTACACAAAGTGGTAGAGACGGACTAGAGAGAATCTAAAATATGTTTGTGGCTTTGTTTAACCAATATCCCCATCTCTACTCACCGAAACTCGCCATTATCGTCAGAACAGTACTAAAATTTGATTGGTTTATAATAAACCCAATATTCGTTTTTGTGTGCGATTTCAAATCACATAGAAAGTCAAAAAGATTCCTGTCCTGATAAAAGACTGCATAAATTATTTTGTCAGTGTCAGTTTCGGTGTTGTCAGTAATATTTTTCTGATTTGTGTTGTTTTTGTGTCAAAATTTAATATTTTCGCGATTTGTAAATATCGGTTATCGGTTGTCATCCCGCGAGTAAAAATAAATGACTGTGTAAAAGTTGTACCTGAACTTTTTTCTTGACATGGCTTCACTTTCTTTACCTAGAGTACTTCATCCAAGGAAAACTAGCTTAGAAATTGAAAGAGAAATCTTTGAAAAATCTCAGGTATAGTTATATCAATAATAGTCTTATATCGCATTTTGCTTGTTTGGCAACTAACAGGAAGTAGTCTATAATTGATAAAATTAATCTAATTTCCACCGAAAAAGGATGTTACACTTTTGCAAATATAAATGTTTTTATAACGATATCCTTTTATGTAACTAGGTTGATTCATCTCATATGGTACGCCCATTCGGTTCTAAACACTCTTTCTTAGAAGAATGACGTATTTGATCTGTTTATATATTTTCCAAGCATATAAAAACATTGTAAATTATATACATAGATGTTAATTTGCAAATAGTCAGTTCTCACTTTGAAAAGACAAAGTAAATTTTGAATTTTTTTGTTTATATATACTTCAACATTAAATATTAGATTTAATGGAAATGAGCCAAAATTTTAATTGAAAATGACGTTTCGTTTCATATTAAAAATTAAACCATTTAATTTATATTGCTAATTTAGTTTTGTTTAGTTTTAAATTTTTAATAGTAAAACTATTAAAAATTTTATATTGCTAACATAATGAAAACTAAGTAAAATAACCATGCAGTCATAGCGCAATTTGCAAGCTCTTTTGGCAAATATGATTCTCTAGATTCTTTCATATAAATACATTTTTAATTACCCATTTAGACTGGAATCCATTATGTAAACACTGAAGTTTTGCACTAATTTCTTTCACATAAAAAATGTAGGTACCCCAGGATAAACAATAAATTTGTATTCAAATATTAGGGAATAAGATGCTAAAATAAGTTTAAAATAGAGAATGTATATTAGGTACTATTTTTAATTAATAAAATACTATAACTTACAGTTACATTGCCTCATAATAGATATGACTAAGTTTCATAAAAATAAATTAGTATTACTTAGATCTATTTTTTAATACAATGTAAAATGTTTATTCCAACTTCAGGTTGCCTCACAATACTTTTTTGTATTTATAACTTTTGGTATTATGTTTATGACAAAAATTACTATTCTACTTGATTCAGAGTACTTCCATATAGTGATTAAAATTGCATAAGAATAAATTTATTATGAATAAAATTAGAGTGTATTTAAATTTTAGAAAACCACATTTATTTCGTAACCTCTCTGCTATAAACTGCTCATACTTAGGGTAATTGGCTTATTTGTAAACTTGCTTCTTTTACTTTACGTTTTGAAGTCCAGACTTCTCTCTAATTCACATTGAAGTTCTTGGTGCAGTAATGGCTAAGATTGATTGCTGCATCACTTACCAAGCATTCAATGTCAAGAGTACAGGTTGGGGAACACCTAGGGCATGGCAGAAGATATGCTATATTTTGCTGTTCTCCACATTCACACAGATAATCATTGGTCACCATATTTTCATACTTCTAAAGTTTATTTAAAGTGTTTTTAAACATTTTATTTATTTATTTATATACAGCATCCATTTACTTACAATTTTTATAAAGTTACATCTTAAAAACAATAAATTATTAAAATAACAATCACAAATTTTACAAAGTTACACCTTAACAAAAATAAATTATTAAAATAACAAACACGTCAGAATAATACAGAAAAATATTTAAAAGTTGCAAAGTGTTCTTTGGAATAAGCCAGCTGATTTGGATAAGAAGTGAAGTGGGATAAGTTTCATACATTAGGTTACTATCTAACATATGTTATTTCTGGCTCAGCCTCACTCACTTAAGTTAACAGTTAACTTTAATTTTATGTGTCAACTGCTCTTTCTCTAATTGGCAACAATATTGATCTAAGACTGAAAGATTAAGTATGAGAGGGAAAATTGTACTTCTTTTGGGAGATGATAATAGAAACTAGGGGGAGGATTTTAGATTATTTAATAAAAAAACATGTGTATTGTCCTTCTATTATTTGTGGATAAAATAAATTAAATATTCAATGAATCCTATACAATATCAAAACTGTTTTAAAAATTAATGAATAGGAATAATATATTAAGTAATAAAGAGGAATGATCAAATAATGTATTTTTTTCTAATAAAAATTATTTTTTCCGTTCATTTTTGATATCCTTTTTATGAACTACTTAGAATTTTATTATTTTTGTCTCCAATACATCAATGTAATTTGATTACAATCTTTTGATTTTTTTGCTATGTGTGGATTTTTATAGTTGTTTGCTTTAGCTTTTGCTGCTGCTTTTACTTCCTTTGTAGTAACCATATAGTTTTGAAGATGAATTTGGTTCCACTGCTTTATTTTTTCTTGAATTTCATTTGACAAACACCAGGTCTCTTTATTCTCAAAGTTCTCTCTTGAGGTTTTTCCAAGTATTTGAATTTTAATATCTCTAATCATACTAGCCATATTTTCCCAAATTGTAGTATGACTTCCTTTCATGTACCTAATTTTTTCTAATATTTTTGCCTTGAATAAATTTTCTTTTCTTTTAACATCCATCATTTAATTTTTATCATCCTGTGTGATATTTTGGTTTAGTTTCGCTTCTTACTTCAACATCCTGTATAAACAACTTATATTTTTTGCTTAGTTTCACTCCCTATTACCTTGCAGTCTTTACATTTACATGTATCTTCTTTTCTTGTAGTGAAATAGTTTGACAATGATTTTGCCTAGTCTTTTTTGTGATAGGTAGACTCCACCTTTTGAAAGAAGGTGTTAACAATCACCACATCTAGTACTATGACATTTTATTTATTACATGATTACATTTTTTCACTGTTTATTAATATGTAAAGGCTATACTGGGATAAGATTCTTATTTGAGAATCGGCACTCGAAAGTACATATTTAGAAACCCAGTAGCCAAATTTTTAGCTCTCTAGGTGGCACCAGATGTCCCCTATTGTAAAAAAAAATTTCGTGCTAAAAATTTGGCTACAGGAATTTCTAAATATGTACTTTCGAGTGCCTAATCCCTAATAAGAATACAGCGAGTGCAGATTTTACCATCTTATCCCACTATAGCCTTTGACTTATTAACTTGGATAAATTATAAACACCTGTTAGTTTTATCGTGGAAGAATGGAATATTTTCTATTCCAAAGTTTTGGCTGTCACTTTCTTATATATTAGTAACACATATAATAAATGGCAGATCTAAGTATTATCACAGTAAGTTAATATACCACATTACTATAATAGTAATTAATTATTGGATAACAACTATTATTCTTAGTCTATATTTGCTACATTCTATTCGGGAACAATATTATTCCATTTTTAAATTTAAATTAACAATGTACTTATTTATGTGGAACATGGCCTTGAAAATTGTGAATTAAAAATAAGTAGTGGACTTCATTAATACTTATCTTTTTTTTTTGAAGTCAATTTACAAACTTTTTTGTACACACTTACCCTTATATTGAATCATTTTAGTATTCACACAAGTAATCCTACAAATATCAAAATTTGAATGATGTTATTTATCATAATTAAATAGTGTATAAAATGTACAGATATAAAAAAAAAATAAGATGCCATGACTTCTCTTTCGTTAAAGTAACAATTGCCTAATCAAATTATCAATAGCTTCCCATATTAGCGACATATAGAGTGATCATTTAAAACTGTTGAAAATGATAGGGTTACATATCGACACCTGTTATGTAAAACATTGTAACTCACTTTTGTTATACACTTTAAACTTCCTTTTATAATATAACAATTATAAGTATCTCTGAGTAGGGTGTAGTTATTATTTTTTGCAAAACAAAGCAGGCAGTTACTGTTGCTATTTTGTTATAAACATCTTCCCGTTTTCTTATAAACTGTTTTTGGCTTCACATGCAACACATTTGTTTGCAATCTATTTCTCTCTCTCTCTCTCTCTCTCTCTCTCTCTCTCTCTCTCTCTCTCTCTCTCTCTGTGTCTCTCTCATGCATAGGTCTTTTGCCTGCAATTTGATTGATTCATCTTGTTAGAGATCTTGCTCATGATCTTCGGCCTTCTACCTTTCTTTGGATAAAAAGTCTTTCCATGTTTTCTGTATCTGTTCTCAAAACATGTCCAAAGTATTTTAATTGTTGGAGATGGATCTTTGCTGAATACCCGTTTGCTGACATTTAGTTCATTTAAAAATGAAATATTTGTCCTGTGGTCGGTCCACGGAATTCGTAACATTTTTCTTCAACATATTCTTTTTCTATTTGGCCTTTCTCTGCTTTAGTCGTATGTAGACTACAAGTGACACACTGATATTTTTCGGTACAAAGAGCCGCCATTAAACTCAGTATTGAATATGTGTCTGTACTGACTTTTGGTGGCTGGCTTATCCCATAGGTGATTCGGTAAGATCCATTCATTATACAGTGAATACAATTTGGGAAACGTTAAAGACTCGTCAAAATATATCTTAGTTATTTTTTTCTTGTGCAGTGGGATTTTTTGCTGCATAGAGTTTGTATGCACATGAATGGAATTTTTAATATTTTCATCTACAGCATTTGTTCTGTTTTTATGGCGACCACGCAAATATCGCGGCACGCAAAGCCTCCACTTTACTGACTATCAATTTTTTGAATTGAGTAGTTAACCACATATCTGTTATGTTAAAAGTGTCCAAAAATGTTATTTTACAAACTTAAGTCGGTGTTCTGCTAACTGCAAATCATATTCATATGTGCAGTTTCTTCTGGACTCTTTTAAGTTTGAAATCTTTCTCTCTTGTCTAATAACATATCTACATAAATATTCGCTATATTTGTCATGATCAGCCATTTCCCAAAAATTATTAAATAAATTGAGTCTATAATTTTCAGATAATTTCTATTTACATTTTCTGTTATTTAATGTTACAACCAGACCCCAATTTTTTCATTTTCGTTATATCCTAGTTGTACTAGTATATTCTTGACCAGAGAAACATTCATTTTAAAAACACTTAGCTACCTCTGTCTCTCCATCCCCAGATTTTTCTTCTTTGGGTATTGTTTTTTTTAACAGACAAATGTAATGATGAACTTGTACCTTTGGTGCATGTAGAAGTTTCTGCTGTCGATGTACTGCG